AAATATTAAACATGTTTAATATTCTACTACGCGACTGCCCCCGACGCACACCATCGCGTCTGCGTTCAACTCACACAGACCCGACGCGACAACAAATCGCGTCGGGCTGTGTCGGCCGACGCTGTCTGAGTTGGCCTTAACGTAACTGTTCTTATAACGTAATATTGTTTAATATCTGGGTAATTGTCAGTGCAAACATGTTCATACTCTGGTCCAAAATTATAAATAAGGTTGCATGCCCTTTATGAAAATACCAAAAAGAAAGAAATATAATATATAAACTTGTGATATTTTGTAAGTGCAATTTTTATTGATTGATTTTACCAGATAAACCAGATCAATTATCATTTTTATTTCATATTCGTTTTTGAGGAAAGAAAACATCAAGAAGACCATCACAGTAAAATTGTGATGGAGATGACTGCGACGGAGAAAAGAAATTAAACTTTTTAGATCATATAGTGCCATATGCAGTGTATCGCAGTGTGCACTTTGAAAATGACACAGTTCTGATCGTATATATAATTTTTTTCTAAAAAAATAATAAATAAATACTTTGAAGTGTTCGGAGATGATGCTGAATCTGTACTTTTCTGGTTGTTATTAGAAATGCATGAATTCTTCAGCTATAGGTGGTTTAACTGTATAAGAATGGACTGTTTCTTACTGTATGGTCCCCTTCAACCAAAATGGTTTGATTTATAACTTATGTTATTTTTGCTAACAGTATAATGGCATTTTAAAGTATTGTGACGGAGATGATGACAATTTAGGGACAAACTTTTTTAGTCTAAAAAAGTCAAATTTTAAGTACTTATAGTTCTATTTATGTCATTTTAAATTTTACATCTGTAAAACATCTATTATATTCGTGGTATAGTTATTCATTTAGGTTATTTATTTTACAAATTATGACATTAGGAATTCTTAAGAAATCCAATCGGGACATGCATAGTGCGCAACTTTGGAGGTTTTTTATTGAAAAATAAGCAGCATGTCGATTACTTTTAAAATATTTAACAACTTATTCCATTAACAAATATGTTCAAGATTAACACAATAAAAATAACATTTCCTTTAATATTTTAAAATTTATACTACATTAAATCAGAGGGACTGGAAAATGGCACTTTATTACTTTTAAAATATATAACTTATTCCATTAACAAATATGTTCAAGATTGCATTAACACAATAAAAATAACATTTCCTTTAATATTTTAAAATTTATACTACATTAAATCAGAGGGACTGGAAAATGGCACTTTATTACTTTTAAAATATTTAACAACTTATTCCATTAACAAATATGTTCAAGATTGCATTAACACAATAAAAATAACATTTCCTTTAATATTTTAAAATGTATACTACATTAAATCAGAGGGACTGGAAAATGGCACTTTATTACTTTTAAAATATTTAACAACTTATTCCATTAACAAATATGTTCAAGATTAACACAATAAAAATAACATTTCCTTTAATATTTTAAAATGTATACTACATTAAATCAGAGGGACTGGAAAATGGCACTTTACAGAAGAATGACGCTTTAATGTACAACGCTTTGATTTCTTAAAGGCGCTTTAGAATAATAATGTTTTTGGTTAATAATACAGTATATATATAGAAGAAAAAATGTAGAAAGAAAAAAATCTGTGATACTACTCCATTGCTATCGTTGCAAAATGTGTTCAACTCGACGCTATTTTCTCCACTGACAAACCATTGATCCCAATTTCTAACGTAATTCTTAAGATGTTGTATAAATTACTTTTTCTTTGTAAATTTTAATTGATGATTAAATGTGTGTTCGATAACTAATATAATGAGAGCTTTTGTGTTTTTAGTACATTTTGATGGTAAAATATTAGATTTTAAAATGCCTATTCCAGAAAGCCTATGAAGTCATTCAGGCGTAATAAACAGTAACCAACATCTGTTGACAACAGAGGGTGCCGTCTGGCGTCGTGACGACACGACTGTAGTACTGTACTCTATAAATGTTTGCGCAAGTTCACCACCATGCAAGATTGCAGTATCACAGCAGTATTGTTAGATACAAGATTTAGTTTTTTTAATATTAAAAGACAAAAAGTTTCTCTAGTTTTTAAAGATATGCATGTTACAGGGTCCCAGACTTTTCAGTTTATTCCACATTAACGTTGAAAAGATTTAATTCTTTTAAACACTACATTTACAACATATTATTAAAAGTGTAACCATGGTATTACCACAGATTCTATATGGTATAAACATGGAGGTATTATTTTTATACCCCTATGGTATACTCATAACCTTCCAACACTTAAAAGACCTTAAAAGGTCACTATTAAGGTTAAATGTATGTTGTGGTATTGGGTAGTTATTTAGTGGTTATTCATCTTTAGCCTGGATAAACACTGATTCCATGAAAAAAGAAAACCATGGTACTGTGGTATTAGTAGAATGTATATTGAACTGATCATAAATATATTTGGTATTATATTTTCAGGGTTCTCACCACGCTGGTCGGCGGTGTTCGGGCCCGTCCAGCACTCAACATTTCCGACCAGTATTTTTAGGCTGCCGACACCACTGTTTTTGCAATTGATAGTGGAAAAAACGTAGGCTAACAAAATACTTTCGTTGCACGACTACCAGGAGTAGAGAGTTGTTGATTAACCTGATTTTGTCAGCCGGGGGTTGAGGAAGTTTTGATGTCGGCGACCACGCCCCCTGGGGTGGGGGTGGTCGCCGACCACCACTCCAAAATGCTGGTGAGAACCCTGTTTTTTATCTGATCTTGATGCATATCTCATGCAATATTTAAGTGTACTGGTGGATTTATTTTAATGAATACAATTTGCTCCTGACATTTAATTCCCTCTGATGGGCCCTGAGCCTAGGGTTTGACCTTTTGTACCTTTCGATTATACTAGCAGTTATTTTTCAGAACCTGCATTTTTATTCTTTATGTATTTTTTTATTGATGATACAAGTCAATAAGAAAATTAAAAAAAAAAAAAAAAATCAAAATTGTTTTTTCCTCCGGAGTCTGACTTTAATATAGAAGCCAATTCCTAACTTATCAAATACACAAACTTAACAAACACAAACAAACTCAAACTTATCAAAGGCACAAACACAAACTTATCAAAGGCACAAAGTAAAGAAAAATCCAAAAATAAAAATGTTTTCAGATTCTTTTAAAATTAAACTATATTTGCAGACTGAACAGAAATGGGCAACAATTGATAACAAAAAAAAATGCATGAGGACATGCTGACACTAGCCTCGCCTCAGCCAATGAGAGTGGGGGTGAGGGGAGGGGGTCATCCCTTAATTCCTTTGGTGCTTTGTACCTCAGTGGTGCTTCTCTCCAAAACTTGTTCCCTACGCCCCAGATTGCTTGTACCTCCACCAGGTCCAAGTTTAGAAGCTAATGACGTCATCATCAAAAACCCTCTGCCTCTCTCTCTCTCTGATTAATTAAACTAAAACTATTATTTAGATCCATGCATGATCTATCAATAGCCCTCAACCATCAATACTGTCAAACATGCCATTCCTGGGAATTAATCATCAAGATGAAGCCAGCATTAACTCTGGCCAATCATTCATGATGAAAAGGTTACCAACCATGTATATCAAGCTCTACAGCCATATGAGATACTGATCAACTCTCTATATATAATAAATGATAGTTCAATTCTCCCTCTGGTTATTTATACTGTATGCACAACAATCTGCTTGCAGTTACTGTACATTCTAATTTTTTTTTTCTCTCTCTCTAAATAAATGCATAAAAACATCACCAACCTCTCCAAAACTCAACTGGATGTGCTGTCATTATGATTACACTACTTTTTTTTTATGAGAACCAGTAAAATTTCGCCCAGCCTCAGTATTTAATTTATTTGCTGGTTTCTTATTTTACACTTTTGAAAGATAGACAATTATTATTGTACAGAGGTATTTTGCTGTGCTGTATTATAGAGGGAATTACATAATCACACCTACAGTACTTACTGCACATATTAAAGTACAGATAAGATATGTTAGTTTTGCTATTAAAAAATAAATGAAAACCTCATTTGACATTTAACCTCAGCAAAATACAGTATTTTGTTCTTATTTTTTAAGCAATTTAAGCCTCAGTGTTTTTAGATTTTATGTGTCAGTGTATTATTGATCGATTTTTTTTAATTTTCAACTTAATGTAGTGATTTCTGTATACAATGCTTCTGTCTTCTTCTAATTTCGGTAATACAATGCTTCTTCCTGTCTCTTATACACATCTAGATGTGTATAAGAGACAGATACAATACAATTATTTTTGTGATTATTTATACTTACCCTCATACCAGATATTTGGAAGCCCACTGTTAGCATATTTGGATATTTAATTTTTGCATTTTCTTTTTTGAATTGGGTGGCACTGTCTTCGTATGTTTGGCATCCAACTTTCACATCCATGATGCAAGGTTTTCTATATTTCTTAGTCACGTCCTCAAGTTTGAGGTAGTACACTTTTTATAGTACAGTAAGTTAAAGAAAAGTCAGTAACAATTAAAAAAAGAACACCACTTTTGCATTGTCTATTATTATTATTAAACTATTGTTTTCCAAAAATATATGAATACATCTCTGATCAATGATACAAGAGAAAAAGAAAAACAATTTCAATAAGTTGCACATACTTTAAAACTAACTATAAATAAATAAATTGATCACTTTAAAAATTGCAGGGTCCAACATTGCTTGTTTGCGGCAAGTTGCATAAGATTTTCAAGATCTTTTTAAGTTTTTTAATTTTAGATTATGCTGACTTAAATCGTTTTGTAGTAGCATCAAGAGATTTGATCTATGTCTACCAACTCAGCATTGCATGTAAGTGAAAACTTAAGTGATTGTATGGCTGGTGAAAATTCAGTGGTTCTCAAGACGTGACCTAACATATTCCATCGGGATCTACTGTATTTATTCGATTTGAAAGTGGTTCAGTATTAGTGATCTTGTATAGTGAAATATTGCTGATAATGTTTGGGTAATGTATGTTTAAGATTTTCCTAAGGTGTTTACGATGACATACATCAATTTTTTCAAAACATTTGCATGTTGTTGCCCAACTTGAAAAATTACGCAAAAAAATAGAAACAACAAGTGCATCATAAACTAATATTTTACGTTTTAAAGATACGTTACTGTTTTTCCACACTTTCTGGTATTTATCAATTGCAATGTTAGCAAGAGTAATTCTATTTTCAATGTCTTTGTCAGTGTTAATTATTGAACCAAGTAATTTGTGAGTTTTCCATTCAGTTTCTCTCTCATCGTCTATTTGAAAGGTAACAAAATCGGTTTTCTCTTTGTTAACGGAAAGACGCCATTTTTTAAGTTCTTCAGTAACTATTGGTAAAGTATTTTTAAGTTCTTCAATGCTACACTCTTATATTTTATCAAGGTCATCAGCATAAATAGTTTCGAAAGGTATAGTGATTGCAAGAGATTGGAGGATGAGGCATTGTCTATACGGATTGGATTAGAACAGTAACATCCAATAAGTATTCGTTTAGAAAAAAAAAATCATCTTTCTACTTCCCTTTTAAGACTAGTGTAACAAAAGCCACTTCATTTTTGTTCTCAAACAGGATAAATTAAATGTATCAATGCAGTAGATAAGAAACATTACTGTAAGTAAGGCCTCCACTATTTTAATAGAGATTGAATGCCGTACATCTTGTTTGTACTATGGTATAATTAACCCAAAGAAGTTCACTGTGTTTGTAAGTAAGGCCTCCAATATTTTTAAGAGATTGAATACATCTTGTTTGTACTATGGTATAATTAATCCAAAGAAGTTCCCTGTGTTTAAAATATAAAACACGTCATAGTGTTAATAATACTCTACATTCCTAATGAAAGTGCACACAACTTCATATTTTGTACACAGTGAACTTCTTTGGGTGAATATGTATAAAGTGGAGAGTGAGCAGCAATAAAATGATAAAGAATAAGTTTGTGGTCATATTAAAGTACTAATATAGTCTTGTGCATTGTTTACAAATTTGTATGTACAGGATGTACTTGCTATGTTTGCAAAACAAGCTGTCACAACACGTGTGGGAACAATTAACAGTGGATGGGAAAAAAATCCCACATTTTTAAACACCTGAACACCTCCAATCATTGCAAACAAATGACCAATGAAAATTGTTTTTCCATCTTGGACTTTGCTCTTACAAACACAGCTCCTCAAAATCAAGGAAGCATTGCATATTCAGTGGGAGCAGCCTTCGTTCAACAAACAACTACTATATCATGTAAATCCAGCATTGTCTTCTTAAAAGGGTTCCATTCCTCATTATTCACTTGCTATTTTGTTATTCTGCTTCATATTTATTCACGTTTATTTTATTTTGTTGTTATGGTTCAATTCATAAATTGTCATGCATTGTTAAATGTTATGCATATGTGTTGTTGTTTGTTTGTATATACAGTAGAACCTCGATTTTATGTACGGTACGGGACCGGAGGGCGTACGTAAATCGGGGAATTCGTAAAATAGAGGTTGGGTTACATTTTTGGTAACCTTTGACCTAATACGTACATAACGCTCAATGTTGCCTAGCTAGGCTAGACCTAGCCTCTAGGCCTACGAATAAAACCATGTGTTTAGTGTTTTTATTCATCACTTTACAATGTCATAATAAAGTGTTCAAATAAAACCATGTGTCTAGTGTATTAATTCATCACTTTATATCTTTTATTTAACTAAAGAACATGAAAATATTGTAAGATTACCTATACAACAAAGGTATAACTTGGGAATCTCCCTTCATGCCCATTCTAAACAACAGAGCTGTGGTGTTGTCTGGGCCTGTTGAGACAAACTAAACCCACGTGCGCTGCACTGGGCGAGTCAACCAATTAGCATTCGTGTACGTGAAACAGCAACCATGTGCACTGCACTGTGCGAGCCAACCAATAAGCGTTCGTGTACGAAACTATGCCTACTCAGCTTCGTGTAGAAAATTCAACCAGGCAAATTTTTCCATGGTTTGCCACACGAAGCTAAGGAGGAAAGCAATTATTTTGAGCACCATCGGTAGTTGTTCATCTCACTCAGTTCACGTGGTTTTAGATTATTACAACCCGGTATTAGACTCAATCAACATTGCTGTTTAATGAAAATACGTTTCATTATGGTTTGTTTATTGTTATAGTTTATTGTTATAGTCTTTTACTTATGGTTGCTCTGAAAAGGGCCGTTTGTTTTGAATATTTTCGGGGTTTTTGATGACGCCATCGTCGATACGAGGCATACGTAAAACCAAGGGTTCGTATAACTGGGGTACGTAAAAACGAGGTTCTACTGTACTGTATGCAAGTTGTTCTTTTAGTTGTTTTTTTTTTAGCTTCTAAGGATAGATCTTGGTTTTAAGTTTTTCCCTTTTTTCTATTCGGTTCACTCAGCACATACAGACCTTGGTATTATGCACTATATAAATACCACTCCATGCATACATATACATTGCAGGTGTGAAAACCCTTCACTGATGATTACACAAAAATCATGGGAATCATGAAAGGATACAAGTTGGATCTTCTTTAAAAACAACGGTTCCATAGCAACGAGGTATAAATGTCTGCAACGTGTCCATGGGAACACTTGAATGTAAAGTAGGATCAGGGTAGAAGACACGGTGATAGAATGCCGCCTCTCTCTGCCCACGACTCGGACGCTGAAATGGTTTTAGAATCGTTCCATCTTTGTATTGGAGCATTCCTGAAAAGTGAAAACACATTAAATTAATTCTTGTCAAGATGTAACATGTGTGCATCCATTTTTCCACCATTTTCATTTTATTACAAATTGCTGTAGTCAAACGTAAAATGTAAAGCATGGTACAGAAATGTAAATTTATGGTTTAAAATTTCTTGATATACTAATATATAATAATAAGTAAATTTAATAACAAAAAAATAATAATAATGAATCTAAAGTAAAATATAAGCTTGGTTGTGGTGTTCTTTTTCAAAAACATACTGAAAGTTACCACTATATTTATTGTGAAATAATTATTAATTTAAAGATGTTGTAAACATCTACAGTATTCAAAATCAAATTTGATGGCTAGAAGAAGAAAGGAAGTGAAAAAGGAACACAAACACAGGAATGTATTATCAATGAACACTACCTTTAAAAATAGACATTACTGTATAATTTTTCAACATATACTGTTAATATTAAATTTATTATTTTTATTTATTCATTCTGAAGTAATTATAAGTAAAATACATTCTAGGATAAAAACACAGAAAAGTACAAAAAAGCAACTTATTTCCACTGCGGACCCTAAAACACATTAAAGTACCAGGTATTAAGATCTTGCGTGTTCTTAATGAAAGCTTTACCACAAAAGTACAGTGGATGATCCAGTGCTAGCAAAAATACGGGGCACTAGCTCCACAGCATCAGAAAAACATCTCTAACCCTGACAGAAAAAATTATGGATCTGTCTATGATGTACTACAGTTTGCCAGTATTAAATTAATCTCTTGTATTCAATATACAGTATCTTCTTTTCTGGAACTACCATTATATCTGCATATATATATATTTACCATATTAAAATTAAAACATAGCTAGTAAGTACTTTATATGTTTAAAATGAAAAGCTATAGTAGTACTGTACTAACTGTATGGCCAGTATTACAGCAAATTCTCTCAAATCCCTTACAACAAAGTGCATTAAAACTTTATTATAATGTTATTATTTAACATAACACTTTCAAAATCTACTCAGTGAGTGCTTAGATTTTATGAAGAGCCCTAACCAAATTATGTACAGTACAAATAAAAATACATTTATTGGCACATAGCTAGGTTTAAGGAATAAATTCCTGTTGAAGGGTGGTCCATTGTTATCAAGGTTTACTAAATCTGTTATAAGCAAGTGATAAAGGAAGATAAATCAGTCCTTTGGTGTGGTTGTGTCAAAAATTACAGCACGATATTTATTATTACTAAGAAAAAATATGAAACAGTATTCTTCTTTCCCCAGAAATAAATACAGGACTGCAATTACTTTATTTCATTTTAATTAGATCTGCTGTAAAAGACAATATAGTTAAAATTGATTATTTTTCAAATTATTTTTTGAAAATTTAAACTAAAATCTTTCTGAAAATTTTATTTACATGTTCATGTTGGAAAACAAAATACTGTAGATCACCCTCTCTCCAATCGTGCAAAATCATGGAGGACAGCCAGTATGCTGTGTCAGCATAGCTGTCGGAAGCATTTTGCAAGTGATCCGGCAACAAAGATCTTATAAACCCAAAATAGCATTCTCCGCAATTTCCGTGTACAAATTCTGTAATAACGAAGTGTACGCCGCCCTCTTGTAAAAGTGAAAACTTTTGAACTTTGACTGCTTTGACCATGCGTACACAGCGAGACTTTACTTTTATGCGTAACAGAAGCGTCCGATTTGAAATGCGCCCTCTCTTTAGAACAATCAACAATAACGTACTTGGTAACAAACTTTGGTGTAACGCTAACACCCTATCTTAGATCCATGGCAATGACTAGGACGCCCTCTCTTAAAAGTGATTACTTTTCTGTGCCAAATTGACGCTTCTATTTGTTACGCGTAAATCGTGGAGAATGCCATCTTGTGTTTATAAGATCTTTGTCCGGGAATTATAAAAAGAGTAGGGGGGGGGGGCGCTTAACAAATTTTGAAAATATATATACCCTAGACAGCTAGTGGCGTATCTAACGAACATAATATAATCAATAACAGTGACTGTCTATATTTACAAGGCGTGCAGGTTATTGTGAAATATAAACAATATGCAATTAAATTTTGCGAATACCCAGGATGCAATATTCGATGCATTATATTTGGAGATAGGGCTACAAATGAATGATTACTGTAGAGTTTTGAATAGGGCTACAAATGAATGATTACTGTAGAGTTTTGAATAACATAGTGATGGTACAATTTTAATTCCACTTGGGTCTACTTGCCAAATTCAGACTGAAGCAATAATGAATTATTTGTCACACTCTAGATCAGTTGTGCTGTGTACTGTACAATCTTTGAATTATTAAAAGTTTCTTATTTAAAGCTGTGTTTGCTTAGGCCTTATACCGATTACGCTTTAATTTTAGTCAATTATGGCAGACAGCCCATGTACTGTAGGTAAACCTCCATGGACAGATCTACCAGGTGATAAAGACATAGGCCTACCTAATAGAGCACTAAGATTCAAGGGTGATCCAGGTTTTTCTGTGAAGGTTTGAGGGGCGCAATGTTAGAATGTGGCTAGTTTTACAGAAGCCATACTGTGGAAACTTTGTTTATACTGTGTGTCAAGAAAAATATAAAATGATGATGATGATGAGAGGATGATGACTTTGACGGTGATGATGGCGATGTCAGTGATAATGGTGGTAATATTGATGACGATGATGATGATACGGATGGTGATGATGGTGTCGAGGATGATAACGACGACAATGGTGATGATGATAGCAATGATGCTGATGGTGGTGGCATGGTTTAACTTTTGGAGAAGTACACTAATGCAGACTGAAGTGAGTCCAACCTGATATAAAGGGTAAAGGGCCCTGACCAGGGTGCAGGAACAAAGCAATCAGCATGTATTTGGTATTTTCTAAGGGTTTCTGTATTTATTCTTTAACAGTACTGAAAAGCCCTGGACAAAAATACGGTGGTTCTGGTTATAGCGTTAATCAATGGCATATTTAATCTAGTTACGGTATCGTTGCTTTGCTTTGCATTGCACTGGAATTGATGATTTTGTTGGATCCTCACCCCCTTAGAAACCTGCGGTAAAATAGCACAGCACATGCATACTTCAAAAAATGAATGTCCATTACTTTGCAGTTTAAATTTTAATTGCAACAAGTAATGACCCATATACCTTTGTGTGGTGATGATAATATTGGCCAGCTAAAACCCCCAACATTGTTAGGGGTTTACATTTGGCGTTTAAATTTTAATTGCAAGTAATCAGGGCTGGGTTGACCAGTATACATTTGTGTGGTGATAACAATATTGGCAGACTCAAACCCCCTAGATATTTAGTGGTTTAAATTAATTTATATCTCTAAACATTTTCAAAATCAATCTTATTTACTAAAATTAAGGATTGAAATGTTGAAGTTGAAATGTACATAGGCAATACAGGAACAAGCGCATGATGGTTTTTTGTTTAAATACTGTATAATATTACAAGACAATGTGATGCTAACATTATTAATAAATTCATATCATTCATAGGTATAAGTAAATATTTGAAAAGCAATAGAGTATTAGTGGTCCAGCCAAAGCCGACGCGGCCGGTGTGGTTCCAACGGCCCAGGTTAGATGAGGGGGGTGTGGTGTCTACTGTAAATGGTTCAAGTTAACTCTGGAGTTAACATCACCAGGAGATTTACAGTAATGTCTGGTTAAGGTAGCGAATTGGAAAATGAAAAGAACTGCTGAAGAGAAGTATTGCCGGAATGACGTGGTGATTGACATACATTATAAACTTGAGGGTTTGGACTTAACAATACAAATGGCATTGCAGCAAATTGTATAACCACTGCCTGACAAATTAAAGCCATAAAAATCACTAAATACACTGCAACAACAGGAGTAAAAATCAACCATTACAGAAAATGGAAATAGAGAAAAATACAGTATAATGGAAGTAAATGCTAAAAGGACTAGACATTGTCTAACATCCAGGGCAATTCAGTTATTCATCAGGAATAAAAACAGTTGTGGGTGGATTGTTTTATGGACAACATGAATTTGTTAGGTATATTGTAAATTATTGAGAACATTACAATTTGTTTTGTGTTCCAAAAATCCGGCCCGAAATCGCCAAACGGTGAGAAATCGCTGAAAATCAGCCCTTTTTGAGCAGTTTTTTTAACGTATCTTCATTAATATTAGACCGATATTTTTGGCTGTTTTTGAAACTTGTTCCTTATTTATTCAGCTATAATGTCATGTTATTTTCAATTTTAAAATCAATGAGGTGTCGTCGGAATCTTTTTTTTTAAGCCAAGTCAGTTGGCGATCGCCCAGTGTATTAACTCCTATCTGTTCACACAATTTTGCGATCATGTTTACAAAAATCACTCTAACTTCTGAAACAGTGGGCCGATTTTAACGGCTGTTTCGGTATGTAAAAATAGACTAATCAAGCTGTCTGTTAAGCTAAAAATAAATTTGATTGGATGAGAGGTCTCGTCGGAACGCCCATTTCTTTAGAGACATTGACTCGATCTGACACACATCGACTAATGGTAAAGGATAGGCGGCAGTTCTCGCCGATAGGCGGCTCGTGCATTCGCTCGTGCTGGTGTATAGTTGACAGAAAAACAGCGATTTCTCAGCTAATACTTGCATAAAGTTTACCATTTTTGTATCAAAAGTAAGAGAAATCTTTGCTGATTTGTAATATGTAAACATAGTTAGAATTAAGCGTTTAGTTTTTTGTTACAAGCAGTTTAAAAAAGTTCAGTTATTTTTCGAAACCTGCAGCGTGATTTAGCCGGTTCGATGGACTCTACCATTATACATGTAGGCAAAGGCGGCCTAGGCTTGCTAAATTCTAACTATAGTATAGAGCGTCTTGGCTAAGATTGTCTCCTTGATTTTTTTTATACAGTGTTCTTATTGATTATACAGTACCATAAAATATATATATCAGATATAGTGACTGACCAAAATGAATTTAAGACATTAGAAAAATGTTACAATATTATTTCATTTATTATTTGTGATTAGGTGCCCAACATTCCCCTCTAAGTAAAGTGGTACGGTCCAACGTGGTTGCGTGAGCTACACTGTGTGGCGGAGAGATTAAGATGGCGTGATAAGAACTCTACGCACTGAAATTAAATAGGTTAAAAAAACAAAACAAATTGTAATGACCCCCAAAAAATGTTAACACATTAGGATGACATTATCACTTAAATCTTCATCCTCTCAAGGTTTACATTACTGTATTTTAATATTCCACAGCTATTTATTTGTTTCTTTTATTACCTGTATATATTACTTTGCACTCAGGAAATGGTACAGTTTCTATTTTATACTGAAATTTAAAGATATAATTACTGAAATGCATTTTACCAAGTTCAGAACTCTGCCATTATAACAGGATATATATATAATTACTGTATATACAAACTAAGTAAAGTATACGTACCACTACCTGGATTCTCTCAGAATGCAAGGAGGAGGAAGTGGTGATAAAAATAAAATAATTCAAGAGACAATGAGCATCATTCATGAAGCTGAGTTCAGCACTGGAGGTTTTGAACACAAAGGTTTATTATATGAAAGCAAGAAATGGAAAGTAAACAAATTGATGTCTTGAAGTTTTCGACATACTTCCATTCATTTTTTTTAAAGAGAAAAATCGATTAAAATAAGAATTGAAATGGTTGTAGAAGAAAGCATGATATGCAAAAGAATCACTTTACAGAGATAATTAGTGGAAAAGGACACACACTACAAAATGGGGAACAAATCTGACAAATGATGCATGTATTACACAGTAGGTACAGTTTTTGCTCACCAACTATTAAAACCATTAGCATGAAATTTAAATACACAAAAATTTATAATGGATGAAATCTACTGGTGGATAGCAACCTACCAATTTTGGTCTTGCCTTTCCCGTGAACATGGCCTGCAACTTGGTGGGAAAGCGGCTCACAATCGAGGGGTAAGGGTGGAGTTGTTGACCTATGCGACTCACCATCTGGATATTTGATGCTATTTTTCACATGATCTTCACCAAAAGCTGGCACTATCCTTTGCACACAAGGTGTCTGCATGATGGCTATCACTCGACACAGCCCTTTCACGCTTTAATTTTCTTGAAAACTGCATTTAATCAACAGGTTCTGTGCTCACGTTCTGTGCTAAGCATTGACTTCCCATAAAGTATGATAGCCTATAAAAAGTAAAGGATCTTCCTTAAAAATTACAACTTTCAAGTCAACGCTCACATCACAAACTAACAGAATTAAAGTAGAATTGTTAGTTTGTGAAAAAAACGCATGTCAAAATAAGCTTGTATTGGTTGACAAGCCCTTTTTGTATGACACCAAGTCTGCAGAAACAACAGCGCGTAATATTGACGCACTTTTTTAGTTTTCATGAACAAACACAATCTACTTTTATTGTGTTAGTTCGTGATATGAGTGACGAAGTGTTTGATAGCTAAAAATCATTGATAAACTTTATCAATCTTTGGCCGGTGACAAGCATAAACTGTACAGATTGTTGACAAATAATACAGATTGAGGCGCTAGTTCCATTTACACCTTCTTTTTGGCAACTATTTATTCCAAGAACTTGGTTGAAAAGTGCATCGACTTGCAGTAAGTAGGCCCTATGTAGGACTACTGAAAAGCAACATGGTAATCTAGGCAAGGTTTAAAATTTTAAGATTTCATGAAGGAAAGACTGTTATTATTATCACTTAATAAAACATTTGTTTAAAAAAATGTGGTAGGGAAACAACTCTCAAAAAATGTCGCCAAGCTACCAAGTATTAGGCCAACTTACTTAACAAACAGTAGACCTACGAAAGAGCTAGCACAATTTTTAATAGTTTTTTGTTTGCCTAGAGTAGCCTACAGTAAATAAAACCCCTCCCTAAAAAAGAGATAGCATCGGAATCTCCTAGGACCTAGCTAGGCCTAAACTACAGTAAGGCTTTTTACTGTGTGACCGATAAATTCTAACTTACATTTATTAGACGATTGATCCAAGTCTTCATACGACAAATCGGTAACAAGTGTATCTATTTGGTTTAAATCATTATCACTATGCAGCATTTCTTTTATCGGATAACCATATTTATATAGCAATCAACGGAATGTCAGCAAGCACCCAAGAGGCAGCTTATAATTCCAAGCCCCTCCCGATTGTGATTGATGTTGGTAGCGATTGCGGCGGCGTTGTTTGCTTGGCCTACAGTAGGACCACAACAATAGTAAGCTTGTGCTTTGTTACCCAAAGAGGGCGTACTAATTGATATCTTAAGTTCCTAAATGTCATTGGACGTACGATACGATCCAGGCCCGTAGCCAGGTTTTTGCAAGGAGTGGGGAGTGTGTGGGGGGGGGGGGGTTTCTGGGCGTCGGGTCCACCCCCCACCCCAAAGCAAGAGGATTTTGCTTTCTAAATAATGCTATAAAACAGATATGTTTGGAAATGTCTGTGTCTGGGTGGGTCTGCAGTTCATTAGTTGGGTTGGAGGACTTTTTGGGAAATTTAAAGAGGGGGTTTGCTACAAAAGGGGGTTCTTCTCCCGAACCATAAATGCGATACGATTTATTGGGTCTTATACAAGATAATTTCAGCTCAATGCTGTTCTTTATTCAACAACATAAAAAGAAAGAAGGCATTTAAAAATTTCATTTCATTTTAATCATTTATTTCAAAATCAACTCAACATACAAATTAAAGAAAATAAACATTATGTATTATAATATACACTCGAAATACATCTTTTTTATACTGAGAGACAACGGATTTTACCATTCAACTACTTCTCTTTAAACCAGCCATGTCAATTAAGTTAAACAAATCAAATATCAGAGTATGTATCATTGAAAATGAAAAAGGGATAAGCAAAATAGGCAAATGAACAACAAATGCCTTACCGTAACTCTTTGTAGATGTGTACCTCAAATATATAATAAGAACAGTCTTGAATAATAATGTGGAAAATCGCTCTGAGACTTAATGGTATAGACCGCTATAAAAGTCTAATTATTATTATTATTATTATTATTATTATTATTATTATTATTATTATTATTATTATTATTATTATTATTATTATTATTATTAATTTTGCTTTTCTTGTTCTCAAATAATTGTTATAGTGTTTGTGCATATTGAACGTCGAATAAATTCAATCAATCAGTCAAAATCAATCAAGATAATGGTTATTTGCTCATTTTTGTTTTCAGTTTTAAACGCATTTTTGAGGTATTTTAATTCAGTATTATAAGTTGGATTGAGTGTTTGACTGCTATTTGTTTTTGTCCTAGAGGCCTATATAAGTGCATAAACTTTACTCAACCTCTAGCGGTATGTGTTCATGGGTGTTGATCTGACTAAGGTAGTTACACAGACATTTTATTCGCTACACGACCGATTACGATACACACACAAATAAAGTATTGACAGTGGCGTATCTAGGGGAGGGAGAACTTCCCCAAAAATGACTTCCCCCCCCCAAAAAAAAATCACGGTCAAGTAGTTAAAAATCACCTAAAATCACCATATTTTGCGAATTAGCGACCTCAACTGATCATCGATCCCCCACTTC